GGGGCGGCCTCAGGCCGGGCTGTAGGGGTAGGGGGGCTGGTTCCCCCTCGTTAGCACCTGATACGTTGACAGACTGAGATGTGTGGGGCGGTTTCCTGGGCCGCTATGCACGTTGTAAGGAGCTGATACCTGAAATATTTGGATTTTAACAGGAAGGTGCAGCTGAAAAGGTAAATTGAACTTGGCACCTGCAGCCCGAGGCCTGTGGCTGCTAAAAGTGCGAGGGAAGTGTATTTCAGTCGTTAAAAAGCTTGGAGATGTGTCGACTTGTGTGAGAGGAAAGTGAGGTAACATGAAGCCTTCTTGGCAGCTAAATAATTCTGCCTAAACTAAAATAATTCTGCTGTCTGTTTCAGCAAGTTATTTACGTTCCCACCTGGTGCTGTTGATAGTGGTGAGTCCTGTCCCCGCTCATACAGGTGAAGGTGTGTGGGAGCATCAAGGACTTCTCCTAAACGAGGTCCTGTGCACGTCAGTAGCCAGAGGCAGGGAACTGCCTCCCTCGTGCTCTTCTGTGACCCTGGCTGCTATTAATGATTGATGAAGTGCCACACCAGTTACTAACAGCCCAGAGGCTGTGCACCGTGGGGACGTTGCCTCTCTCCTCTGAACCACTGGTGGCATCAAGACTTTCTTCTAGCAGAAATGGTGCTGGTGTCCCTGCCCTTGTTTCCACAATGTAGAGGTCTTTGCATTGCTGGCTGTTTTCCACAGCTCCTAAGCCAATTATTTTTTAATGGCCACTTGTGCTGTGTATAAAAAATGTTTTTTTTTGTAGGACCCTTTTAGAAAGCACTGTTTTTTTATAAGCTCTACTAGAGACTCTGTCGCTCACAGGCTCTAACAAAGCAGAGAGACTGATAATCGAGTATGTCACTTGAAACAAAATGCCCCAGCAACAGTGAGAGTGGCATCCAGTTCTCACAAAATACTAGACCTTTGTTTGATGTAAACAGCAATAATTACAGTCTGCTCTCCTGTGTGAACTATAGCAGGAGTGTATTGTCACTTGCAGAATAGAAATTATGACCTGACCTCAATCCAAACAGCCTAATGCAAATATCTTAGCTTGGGTAGCTAGTTCTAAGCCAAACAAATTTTCACTGAGGCTAAAAAATAATATGTTTTAGCTTAGGTTTTCCCCATATAATCCCTGTTCTACTGACTGCCCTTTTAAAATGGGTGGAAGTAAGAAGGATTTTATTTCTTCTCCAGATGTGTTTCATATTGCAGTTTCAGGTGTGTCTACAGAGGCTTTAATACATAAAATTAATGAGATTATCCTTAATAAAATGGTGATTTGTTTATTTATTTTTGAGGCTGCTGGTTTATGGGTGACATTTTTCATTAAAAGAGCAAACTTAATTTAATATTAAACTTTTAATTATAGATTCAATTACCCCATATATTTAAGCATGTACATAACCCAAGCATATATATATAAGTTCTCTTGAAGGCATGGGCCCCTTGGAAATGCTGTGAGAAGTGCACTTCACTAATTACAGTTTTGCTAAGGTGCTGTCATCAATGTATTCCACATAGAAAAACACTTGTAAGGAATGGCTGAATCAGAATGCCACGTCATTATTTATGTCACATATATTTATACATTATGCTTGTGCCTTGCATCTCTTTTAATTAGATGTCTTTATGCCTGCTGTGGGTTGTAAGAATAGAAGGAGATCATGATCTGGGTGGCAGTTTCCTTAAATTCCTCATAGATGTTATACTGAAGTTCAAACTGCTTGTAAAAAACCGAAGTGACAGATGATTTTTAAAGGAATAAAGGCATTAAAAAATGAATATTGTTTCCAAGCAGGACTTTCAACACCCACTAAATGCCTCACATAGCACATACCTACCTAGTAGATGCCCAAGTACTTGAAAGGTCTCAGCTCCAAGTGTTGTGGAGACTGAGGACTTGATAATCCACTCTTGCAATCTTTCAGCTCACTTCAAGGCTCTCCAGGCAATTAACATGTTGGTTTTGTATTAACACAATCTCCTAATCAGCATCTCTGAAGTCTACATCAGTGTGATAAAGCCTCAAAGGGTTTGCTTGTTTTCCTGTGGATTTCATTATGTTAAATAACATACTGTTAGATGAAGTCTTATCTTCTAAATTTTAAACAAAAGTTGTTCTTTTTAGCCCATTGGACATTAATGGTGCTTTTGTAGAATGGATCTTCTTTACCAAACAAATGAGTATACACTAAAACTAGCAAAGTCCCACTTGCCTTAAAACAATGGAAAATGACACTTCTTTTTATAACTATTTTGTCTTTATAACTCTTAGTGTTCTGTTACAATACTTTATATTTAATGTTTTACATAAATCCCCATGTTCTGGACTCATATATTCTCATTATACTCAAATTTCATTTGAAAATTAATTTAAAACATTATAGCCCTTGGACACTTCTTGGGAAAAGAACTAAGTCTGCTGCACAGGTTAACCAGCCTGTACCAAGAAGGAAAAGGAAAACATTATTCAAGTTTTATTGGCTTAAAATCTTTTTCATTTTTGCAATTTTCCATTTCTTTGTGACTAGGTTCTTTATCTTAGTAAAGCTTGACAGCTGTGGCATTTTTAATAAAAAATCAGCATGTATCTTGGTAGCAGGAGAAAAGGAGAACTACATTTTTAATGCATTTCTGTATCTTTAAACAGGAGGGATCGTTTTACTTCAATGTTAATATCTACCTTGAGAAATGAACTAAGGAACTAACATCTCTTGTAACTGAGGCCTGTTTGATCAAGAGAAAAAAAAAAAAGCGGAGAAACCTCCAGAGATTGTTATGGATCCTGCTGGGGTTGTTTGGTGAGTGTTTTTTTAATAACAAAATAATATATCAAATAATATTTTAGTGAAAATGTATTTATCTTCAAAATGCTGATATTTTTTTCTTGCTGAATCTTCTCCATGATTTCCTGTCAGCCAGTTTCCTTCTCCCCCCATTCTTTTTCTGTGTCTCAGTTACAGTGTAACTGAAAGCCTGGTTTGTTTGTACAACGAAACCCGATTTCCCCAGATAATTTATTCTAGCAAATGGTGATGTCTGGCACTGCTAGAGAGAGCAAGACTTTGTGTTCTGGCTAACAGCAGGTACAAAGGGCGTGCGTGGCAGCCTTGTCATTGATTACACACTGAATGAGAGCTGTGTTTCTGTGGGCACCAGAGGCTGTAAGACCACTGGGGGACATCTGAGGAACTAATGTCTGCAAAGTATTTGGTAGATCACTCAGTGAACTGAGACATAGGTAAGCAGAAATACTCTTTAGCCAATCTGCAGAAATATTTGGGGCTGTGCTCTTTCTCTAGCACCTCCTGTGCTTGGAAGAT